CGAAGCTGTAATGAGTGCGAGTGCCAGTTTTTCCATGTCGGAGTAGCGTGTTTCAGCTGGGAGAAGTGCTTTGCTGATGTAATATACCGGCAATTGACGCTCATTTTCTTCCCTGGTTAGGACCGCGCTGACTGCTACGTCTGACACTGCTAGATACAGCAACAGAGATTCATCCGGATGGGGTTTCGATAGGAGGGGCGATTTACCGAGGTGCTTCTTCAGAGACTCGAAGGCCTCTTGGCACTCCGAAGTCCAGTATCTGGAAGGTTTGGTCAATGTGACTCACGTGTTCGGCCGCCTGGAGGCTTTTGACCAACATGTCATCCACGTAGACCTCCATGGTTTTGCCAATGAGTTCGGCGAACATTATGTTGACTAACCTCTGATATGTGGCCCCGGCATTTTTCAATCCGAAGGGCATGACTTTGTAGCAATACAGCCCCCTGTCCGTGATGAATGATGTAGCTTCCTCATCAGGTCGGAACATGGGTATTTGGTTGTACCCCGAGTACGCATCCATGAAGCTAAGTAGTTCATGCCCAGCAGTGGAGTCGACCAGTTGATCAATTCTTGGAAGTGGGAAGCTGTTCTTGGGGCATGCCTTATTCAGGTTTGTGAAGTCCACACAGACCCTCCATTTCCCGCTGGACTTTTTCACTAGAACCGGGTTGGATATCCACTTCGGGTATATGGCCTCTCTGATGAAACCACTGCGATCGAGTTTACTTACTTCGTCTTTCAGCGCCTCGTACCGTTCCGGATTCAGCGCGCGCCTCTTCTGTCTACGGGGGGCATAGGAGGGGTTGATGTTAAGGTGATGGCAACTGATCCTGGGATCTATCCCCACCATATCCTCATGTTTCCATGCGAAGACATTTAGGTTTTCTTTCAGGAATCGTATCATCCCAATTCTTGCTTCAGGCGATAATGACTTCCCTATGCGCAAGACTTGATTGGGGTCTTCTGGATTGACTGGAAAAGTTTCCAGTTCTTCCATTGGGGTCGCGTTTGGTTCATAATCAATTATTCGGGGATCTAACTCGTCAAGAGAGTGTCCTTGTTCAGGGGCCTCTTCCATTATGACATCTTCCTCTTGTTCAGAGGTATGCTCTTGTTCAGGGGCGTCGAGCATCTCCACGTCCGTACCGGCTTCAGCGGGTACTTCTGCTAGAATTACATTGACAGTCCGGGGCTCCGATTTTCGTAGCGAGTTCAGGTAGCATGCCCTGGAGCTCATCTGATCGCCCCGAACCGTTGCAATCCCTCGTTCGGTTGGGAATTTCATGCACAGATAGTGAATGGACGTCACAGCCCAAAGATCTTTTAGAGCCGGTCTGCCCAACATCCCATGATAAGCCGACCTATGATCTACCACCAGAAATTCCATGAAATGCTGGGCGACCAGGGGGGCCGAACCCATTTCCACAGGCAGGGTAATCCGCCCTCGTGGGATGATGATGTCCCCACTGAATCCGAACAGCGGGTCGGTCATGGGGATTAACCCATGTTCAATTTGCATTTTGTCAAAAGTGGAGCCAAACAATATGTTCACGGAGCTGCCGTTGTCAACGAGCATGCGTTTTAATCCGTTTCTAGCCACTACGGCCCTTACAACCAGAGCATCGCAATGGGGATGGTGAACTCCCTCTGCGTCTTCCTGCGAGAAGGTGATTGGGGTCATCTTGTTTGCTGCTTTTGATTCATCGACAATGTAGGTGATCATCGGGGGATCCTTAGCTTCTCTTGTATAATTTCTCTGGGCATTCCTGGTGTTGCCACCGACGTGGGGTCCCCCGATGATGGTATCGATTTCCCTGATGACCTGGCTTCCAGCGAATTGAGCTTGGTTCTCTTTCCTGGATTGGCCTCGGTTTCTTGACTCTCTTCTGCTAGGAGATTGTTCCTGGTGACCCCTTCCTCCCCTCCTCGGGGAGGTGGATCTGCGGGGGTACTCATTTCTGCTGGAAGTGAGGGGGTTGCTTCGATCAGGGCGCCGGTTGGCATCCCGACACTCACTGGTGTCATGTCCATATAGTTGATGGAAAGTACAAAATCTTGCTCCTGGCATGGGCCTATTGGGCCTCTTCTTCTTCTTGTCAATTCTTCCGGATGGTGCTGCCTCAGTGGGTGCGCTATCATATGCCAACACCGGCACTGCGTTCAATGTGGCGGAAGCTAGGGCCTGTCCGGATGTGGGAGCTATGGTATGCCCTGCTTGGGTCCATTGCTGAGTAACAAGGTGCGCTGCGGGGCCTCGACCTACCTGCCTCTGTGGGGGAGGGAGTCCCTGCGCGGCACGGTTACGATGATCAATCATTTCTTCACTAATTATTTCCACCCTCATCATCTCCACCAATTCGTCGTACGTGGAGGGATTCTTGCTGCGAACGTCCCTCCAAAACAAAGTGTTCATGTTGAGACCACCTTTCAGGGTCGAAAGGGCTTCCCTGTCAGTGACCTGTTCGCAGTAAGTAATCTTGTCTGTAAACCTGGCGAGATAGCTTTTCAGCGTCTCTCCAGGGGCCTGCCTCATGTCTTGCAGGCGTTGGATCGGCGCCTCTCCTTCCCTGCGTGAGAGGTACTGGTTCAAAAATGCTTTCTTCAAATCCGGCCAACTTCTGATGCTTAGGGGAGGAAGCCTGCTGTACCACACTTCGGCGGCTCCGCCTAGTGTTAAATGGAAGGCTCTGCACTTTAGAGCAGGTGAGGCTCCCCTAAGACTCATTTGCGTCATATACTTTGTGAGGTGCTTCTCCGGATCCCCTTTTCCCTCGTACTTGGGGATCTTTGGGGGCATGAAATTAGTTGGCATTGGGAAGCTTCGGATTTCCCTTGAGAAAGGGAGGTTATCGTCATCGTCGTCAATCTCATAAGATCGGCAGGGCCCCTCTAATCCTTGGTCATCTTGGACGTCTTGGGGTGGAGGAGGTGCTTTCCCACGGCTCCCCCAATCGACTAAGTTTCTCCTCTCCTTCCTGTTTCTAGGAGGAGGGACATACTCCTCTTCGTTGTCTGACCGAGCCGACCCTCTTGAAGGGCGGATCCTATTGCTAGGATCGTTCCCTATCCGGTCGAAGACGCTTACTGACCTCTGGTCATGTTCTTGTGGAAAGTTGTCCCCCAAGAGTGGTTCTGATGGGTGGCTCTCCTGCATATAAGATGTTGCTTCGGTGTTATGCTCTCTTTCGAGAGGACGTTCGGTGTGCCGGCTCATGTGGCCTCGAGAATGAGACAAAGGGATTTCCCGTACCGGATACGATCCTTGGGGCATCTGGTGTCCCTGAGCTTGCATGAGAAGTTCCCGCATCGCCATATTCTGAGCTGCTATGTCTCTCATGCCTGCAGCTATCTGGGCCATTCCTTCGGTGAGTACGGCTGTTCTTTCACCTCGTCGACGCCGGTGATGCGGTTTCTGATTAGTAACATTGTTATGAAGTACTTCCTCTTCAGAGGCCTCCCTGATGGGGTTGTCTTCACGGCTGTAGCTCATCCTACCTCTTCTTTCAAGGATAGTAAGAACTTGGATTGTAACTCGACTTTTATTCTTTTTCAAGAATGCCTCCCTTTTTAGGGTCAGTCGCCGGTTTTCCGGTGGCTTCTCCGACGGGAATGTAGGACTTTGGATGGGGAATGACGGTTCCCACAGACGGCGCCAAACTATTGACCTCTAAAAATGGCTCTTCCACGTGGCCAACTTGCAGCTACTCCACGTATTCCTCCCTACGAGATGAACAAACTGTCAGGCGCACACGGCCGGAACCAACGGGGGTGGCGGCCGTATACACTCCGACGGTCAAGTCAGGTTTGGGTGGTCGGAACAGTGTCCAGGGACTACGCAAATCGATCAGTCAATAAAGGGGGAGGAGAATATATAAACTTGTTATGGAGTGCTATCTATTGAGAGTTTCATTACCTTTGCCTCTGGCCAATCTTTGGGTATTTATAGATGGTATGAACCGTGGGATGTGGAACACGTGTATACATCTGACGGTATGAAGCGTCTGCTCATAGGCGTCAATCAGCCGCGCTTGTAGAGTGGGCGGACAGTTTGTTTCCCCGAGTTGAATTGACATAAAGTTGATAAGTCACATCAAATAACTTTATGGGAGACGTCAAATCAATTTAAACCTTATATGCAGAGCAAATCTTAAATTGGCAGCGAATCTTCTAACGGGGGTGCAAGCCACTTGAACCCGACCTCGGAGACGGGACACTTCGGCAGATCAGTGACAGGAATCGGTGTATCACTTTGGAGAGGTTTCGGGAGGTCGGAGTGGTCTATTTGATTTCACCGGCTTCGGAGTGGCGAGATGACACTTCGGTACTTCGGTACCGAGGCTCGTAAAATGAGGCGTAACAATAACATTTTTTTTCATTGACTGAAATTGTATTTAATAAAAAGAGAGTGGAGGAAAGGAGAGAACTGGACATCTGTAAATTTTCCTCATCCTCTGGATTTTAGCCGAAGTTGTTAAAGCCAAAATATCAATACAAAGCTGAGGAGTGGAGGCACATATTTTTCCTTTGGATAAAAAATAAATTATAGAGGGGGGTTTTTAAAAATTATGTGGAAACATTCTTGTTCCTCTCTATCCAATATTCCAATTTGACCAAGTTATCATAGCTTGACTCTATTATCGCTGCCGTCAACCATTGTTGTCAAATGTCATTGATGTCTTAGGACTTGCCTATATTTCAAAATTGCTGATTGAAGAAAATAATGAGCAAGATCTTGGAAGCAACAACAATATAAGAGTAAACAATGAATCGATGAAGGAAATAAGATAACTATTAGCTCTGTAGTATGGACACTTCAACTAGGGTAGCATGTTTTTGTACGAAGCACGTTAAATACGTGTCGAAAACCAAATAAGTATTCATATTTTCATTTTCATAATATATAATATTTTTAACTTAAAATTATTATTAAATAACAAATAAGTATTCATACATAAAAGATTTCGACAAGAAAAATTAATAATTATTAAAAAAAACTAAATTTATACTATATAAACGAAGAATTTTAAAGAATTTAATCCAATGTGTTGACGTGTCATATCAGCTTCTTTATTTATTTTATTTTATTATTATTATTATTTTTTTTGAAAAATTGCAAGTCGGCTTGCACGTGTTGGTGTTGGTGGTTCATAGATTATTAGCCTAACCTGTACTATATTTAAATTAGCCACTTTTTTGAAAATAGCTTATTTTAATTTTGACTCATATTATGACTTAAAATTCGGTCCAATTATCATAAATTTGTACTGGTTTAACCAGAAACTAATATAAAAACTGTTCAAAATAAAATAAAATAAAATCATGCCAGTGTCTTTATCGTAATTGTGATGAAATTGATATTTAGTGATTAATCACTGTCAACTTCAAAAATCAGGATAATGTTCCCATGAAAACTAACTTTATAGTCTGACATCTGACTGATAGTCATACTATTCTTTGGCTCTTCATTTTGCACTTCGCGTACATAATTATAATGTGTGCACCAAAGCCTAAAATTTTAGAGCAGTTGGGAAAAGACGTAGGAAGGACAAAATTTATTCCTTTGGAACGGTAAATAACCTAGACTATGGCTTTCTGTCAAAGGTGCGTAATTCAAGAAAACGTGTGCATGTACACATCTGTTTAAACGATGTCCTTCCAGCATATGGCAAACATTAGGAGATGAGCTCTTAGTAAAATGATACGCCTGCATCTTGATTTATCGGTTCTTGATTGACTTGGTCATTTGTTTTATGTTGGAAAATCATTCTGCCCAAGAGAATTACTTTCCCCCAGGGAAGATCAATGTTCAGAGCCATTTTGCTGAAAGAATACAATTGATAGCATGGCTATGCATATTAAGGTAGAGCAAAAACTGTACAAAATCCTATTAAGTTAGTCTTAAAAGTTTTATTTTGACTTGTACAAAAATTTAATGTCTTTGGGGCAAAAATCAGTTTTGCATATTAAATTAGAAAATGTAATTGTGGCATGCAAGTTTTGCTTTTAGTAATTCCAACTTCTTTGTTTAGGTGAGTTTTCATTAACATTTCAAACTTCCTATTTTAAAAAAGACTGAATGCATGTTTACTGATCCTTTTGACATAGATGTGCGGAGAAGCTTCTTTATAAAAAACGAAAAGAGAAAGAACAATTGAAACAAAAAGAGAAAGACAATGATCAGAGGAAAAGGTAGGTATTAAAGATTTAGTTTCAGTTGAAGAATGGCTTATGACAGAGACAGGACAAGGACCCAAATTTGTTGCTCTGATTACTTTATTCGTCTTCCCTTTTCAGGGATAGGTCTGAAAGTGGAGATGATACGGATAACGAATATGACAGAAAGAAAGAACGTAGAAAAGGTATGATACTTCTATGTTAGCTTCTGCATCATATCAGCCTTGTAAGTTTTTTCTGACTCTGCAATAGTTAAATTCGCTAGCATTTTCATGGCATTTCTCGAGAGAGAATTTTGAATTATTTTCTTCAATTAAATAAACAAATAAATGATAAATTGCCAAATAAGTATATTATCAAAAGCTTCAAGAGATGGAATTCAGTGAACTGTCTTCCTGCAATGATGGTTAAGAATGTTCTGCGACTATGATTGGAATAACAATTTGAGATATGCTAGGAAGGCATATTTGGCAGAACTCGAGGAGGTACTGCTTTTGATGTAAACTACTGTGAGATAAAATGTGACAGTATTCTTAAAGGATACTAGACTGGTAAATATCGACTATCAGAAGTAGTTGAATTAATTCTGGGGTTGGGAAAATGTATTAAAGTTTGTGGTAGAGCTAAGAGATGTACAACACACCTTTCAGCATGTCTTGAGCGAGTAGATGTCAGCACTGAGACCCATTCTGTGTATCCATGTATCTTCTTTCTTCCTTAGGTGACAAAGTTAGAACTTGGTTTGTCTTTATATGTTGGAAGAGTCAATGGGCCTTATCAAGGCGCCCTGCATATTGAATTTGACCATCTTTTTTATGTTCTTCGTCAATAATAACACAGCAACACACCGTTGTGGTTTTAATATCTAGCACATGCCCTTGATATATTTAAAAATAATTGTCACCCTGGAAAAAGATTTATAGTCTTCATTGTGAACTAATCATCTTATTGATTGAAAAAATAATTTCCAAATTACTTCTATACGAGGAATATATTGCCTTTAGAAAATTTGTCCAGGGAAAAGGAATTTCAGATATTATTTTGAACATAATTATGAGAACCATAAAGTCATAATATATTTCTGTAGGGCTAGCTACATGGATCCCTTTCCTCCCGTGCTAAGCAAATGGAAAAGGATAATTGAAAAGATGGCATAAAATCTCTGGATTGAGAAATCGTAGTCTAGTCTAGTTCCTATTCTATTAAATGCAAATTTTTACCCATCAATAAATCTTACAAAATCCAAAGCCAAAAGCTCAAAACACCAAATAAATGGTTGCTCCAAAATGTGCAGTCTTCCTAGAAAAGATTTGCCGTGTGATGTCTTTGTGTTTGTTTTTAGTCATTCTTGTTATCTTATGCCTGATGATGCTAAATGCTTAGAGCCAAGTCTATTTAGTTATATTGAGGATACTTTATTATCTTGTTGCTTAGAGGAGCCAATCCAATGGTTCTGATGCTTGTATTTTGAAAGTAGTTCTGTTTCAGTTTCCTATTTTTCCAATTGCAGAAATAATTATCCGTCAGGAAGCATGCTTCTATGAGAGTCCCAATATGAACGCTGGGGCAAATTATTGCTTTATGTTTGATAGAGGGTCATTTCTGATTCTAAATGGGATCCTAACATATAAACATCATATGTGCAGGAAAGAAGGCTTCGACTTCACTTAGTGATCATAAGATTGATGACGATGAAAACTTTGACGAATATCTTGAGGGAATGTTTCCCTGATCAGATCTCTTTTACATAAACCGAAGAAAATAGTAGAAGCTGAATTTCTGTTTTAAGTTATTTATATATGCTAGCACATACTTGTAGTTTAATGAGAATTCAACAAGTTATGTAGTTTGGAATTTTTAGTATTAATTTTATCCTCTGCAAATTTAGATATTAGGATGACGGTGTACATACCTGTAGTTTAATGGCGGTGGTGGTGGCGATGGCAACGTATATCATTATTGATATGTGCTCCCGTCTTGGATCAAAAGCACTGATGAATTCATTAATGGTTATGGTACGATGTTATAAGATTATATGATACACGAAGGGTTTGTAATTCTGTCTATCATTTAAAATTTGAATATTATGTTTATAGGTTCAGCTTAATTAATAGAGTCGTTAAATTAGATCTCGAGCCTCTTCTTGATCATTCATTATTTCATTTGTCTCAAATATGTTGTTAAAATTAATTGTTTAATTTTAATTTAGATTAAAATCTAATTTAAATCGGTATCGAACGGGAATTTTTTTTTTTTTTTTACTGAAGTTGGCTCAAGGAAGGACTTTAGAATCGCAAGCCCAATAAGATCGCGTGACTACAAAACCTTTAGAAACTTGCTATATGGGAAGCAAAAGGAGGGTATTCTCGACCTTACATATGTGGGCTACTAAATTTTTTTTAAGGGGTGAATATGGTTCAATTTGGACGGTTTGTGCTATATTTTCAGTTCAAATTATTTTATGTGGTTTGAAATTTGTTCAAATCAAGTCAAACCATTTTATTTTTGGAATCGAATCAAATCAAATCATAGTTTGCTGTTTGGTTCGGTTTTAACTGCGATTTACCTATCCACATTATAATAATATATTTAGCATAAGTTAACATATAAGTTTAAATGAGAACTAATAATATTAAATTACATTCATATTTACCATGGAATCTACGAATAAATTATTTCCAAAATTGGCTACTAAAAAATGTTAATAAAACAAATGCGTCTTTCTTCATTTTTATTTATCTTTTTTTGTTTGGCAATCATATTGTCATATAACTATTGATAAAGATAAAATTATATTTTGCTATTATAGTTTGGTTAAAATTCCATTCGTCTTGCTTATAAGATGTAAAATAATGATTGAATGGGATATGTTAGATGTACAAAGATTGACAAAGATTGAATGGGATATGTTTAGATGTACAAAGATTAACAAATTTCATTCTCTAGTTACTTTATGAAAGTAGAAGTAGTACTAGTTAGAGAATTTTAACATTTTCACACAATCAGTACGCTCCGTCCTTTGTTCTTTTCAAACCACAAACTAATTTATTAATCATCTAGGCACACAAACATTCATTTTTTATCCAAACCACAACTTATAAGTGTATAATAAGATAAAAAACAACAAATAAAAGAAAAACAACGAAAAAATGGTTTGAATGAAAATATGAGACTCGCTAAAAGAGAAAGAGGCGATTCAAGTAAAAATTAGCAGACTAACATGCAAAGACGATTGATGATTTGTTCAGCAGTGACAAAAAAGCGTCAAATGTTAGGGAAATGAGAATTTATGTTAAGGCTTCTAAAATTTTGAACGTGATTTATTGACATAATTTTGTTGAATTATGATTTGAATTTTTGAAAAAATATATATATTTTTCATGTCATATGATTTTGAAATAATTTTAGTTTGGTTTAGTTATCAGGTGAAGATGTGTTGTGAACTTGGTAAGCCTTAAGTCAATAATGATGAACTTAATTTACTTCATATGATTATTTCAACAAGCTGGTTGTAATTTATATCGTTAAATTAAACTTTTTTTTTCTTGAAAAGTGGAAATTGTAAAATTTTTAAGTTGATAAAATTAACGTTTTAATAAATAATTTAAAAACGATTAGATTCGGTTCGGTTGGATTTTGTACAATTTTTGAAAATTAAAACTTAAATCAAACCATTTTAGAACGGTTTGATTTGATTTGATTTGAGGGGGGAAAAAATCACGAGGCCACTTCGATTTCAACTGGACGTCCAACAATTTCAATTCGATTTGTGATTTTGTGATTTTTTTGTGCGGCCTTATTCTTTTCCTTAACAGAGATAGAAAAAGCGACGGGGGCTTGAACAATTAACAATGCAATGTTGTATGAATGCAAAATTGGAAAACCATACGTACAGATTATTGAGTTTTTCCATATGTTTAGAATTTATTTCACATAAAGCATACAGAAATCCCATAAGAATAAAAAAGTACCAATAAAATCCATCCCACCACCCCCGCTGTGAGTGGTCTGAATGGATACTGTGCATCTCTCTTATTTGTGTCGTCTGTCACTTTCCTTGAGCCTGCCACAGTTAAACAAAATGGATTTTCGAGAGTTTTAGCATTTAGTCATAGTCCCAACATTCCAATAATAATTAAAGGTAAGGTTCTTCTCTATCTAGAAGAATTTTATAATATCAATTGGGTTTTTACAGTTTCGTTAAAAAAGGACGAAAGTTAGAATCTTAAGCTTAATAATGGTAGTGTCAACTTGTTTTTGTGTTTCTACGCCATTTCGTTTGTAGTAAGTAATTTTGTTTAAAAAAATAAAATTAAATGATTTTGAATAATAGCTTTGTTTTAAATTGATCATTTGATTACTTATGATCTTTTTATTCAGAATTTTCTGGTGTTGAAGAAGTACTGGATTAGTTGTAAACATGGTGTTACCCCAAAAGCTAGCCAATGGGATTGAAAAACACAAGCTTATATAAACCACACAAGGAAGCTCATACTTCCGATGTGGGATTTAGGTACTCATACACTCCAATGGAAACCATTACAAACTACCACGCTTCCGACTTGACGTCCACGTCGAGCAAGTGCCCATACACCCTAAGTGGTAATAGAGATCAGAAGACATGGTGCCTCCTCTGATACCATTGGCATAGAACTTGGGAGAGTCATACTCCAAAAACTAGCCAATGAGATTGGAGAACTCAAGTCTATATAAACTGCACAAAGGGAGCTCATACTTCCGATATGGGATTTAGGTACCCATACACCCCAGGAAACCATGACACATGGGGTTTGGATGTTAAAATTGATTTCTTATTTTTAATTTCCTTAGTTTGACTCATTAGTTTATTTCTTTATAATAAATTGCTGATAGCATTTTTGCTTTTGACAAGCATGTTACCGTTATAATCTAGCTAACTGATAAGTGTGTTTTTGCACATTTATTTAGGTCACAAACATGATTTAATTACGAATAAAATGATTGAATTGTGACTTAATTTCGTTACATTTGTGAATTGTAGGTAACACCGATGAATATGGTGAAATACATGAGAAAAGACGCGAAAAAGAACTAAAATAACACAAAGTGAAAGTTCAAGGACCAATGTGCAATTATCCAAAAGTTGACCCGATAAACAAATCAAGAAATTGAGTTGCCAAATACAAATTGATAATATTTTGGGATGATGGAATGTGAAGAATGAAGAAAAGATGCAAAGAAGTGGAAGATTCAAGTAGAGGGACCAATTTGCAGGAAATGAAAGTTGAATTCTACCATGCGGTCGCATGGTAGAAATGTCGTGCAGCCGCACAAAGTGATGCAGGAAATTCAATTGGAAATAGAGATTAACCATGCGGCCGTACGGATTAAAACCTTGCGGTCGCCTGGTACGTTTTCGACGCGATTTTTTTCTTTTCTTATACGATTGAAACACCTTTGGTAACCTAATTTTTCACGGGATATAAATATCAAAAACATTCCAGAGACGCAGAGAACGTAATTGGAGGCCGAAAAACACTTCTTGGAGAGGATTTGAGCGCAAGAACAAAGATTGGCACGAAGAACTTCAAGATTTATTCAAGATTTCATAACCCAATGATATCTTTTATTCAAAATATGATGTATTTTGTTATTTTAATCATGCTAGGCTAGATTTTAATTATGCTAGGAGATCGATGAACCATGTGATTTGAATTTTAGTATTCTCGTTTTGCAATTTGATGTTAAGACACAATTTTTATTGTTTTGAATGATTTATATGCAATTAATGTTTCCGCAATTAAGGGCTCGTATTTGTGTGGATTTAAGTGATTTATTCTTGCATTAGAGAGAATTGGAATAGATTTGACATAATATAAATTATCGTAGGGTCCGATGGTAGATAGAAATATACCGTTATGCCCTATGTGAATCTTTAAATGTTCATAAAAGCGCATGCATTTTTACATATGCCCTTGTCATAGAAATATAGACAGGTGGTATATAGAAATAGGTTTGATACATCTCTCGAGAGAGTATTGGATAAACTTAGGAACACTGATTCGTCACAATTGAAATGTATTGTCATATTGTGAAACTAGGGTTTAAAGTGATAATTGCATGGGAATTCGTGATCCTAGCGTATTTAATTCCTAATAATAATAACAACGTGTGTTCTCAACTTTTAGATTTCATTCTAGAGTTTTAAACTATTGTTTTGCATATTAATTTCAATTTAATCATAAAAAAAATTGCATACTTGAGATTCAATTAGGTCTACATTCACTTTGGTAATTTAGTTTCGGTTAAGGCTACGATAGGTAAAATTAGAACTAATCAATCTTTGTGGGACGATATTCGGACTCATTTAATCCACTTTATTATTTGTTAACGAACCGTACACTTGCTGTAGTTTTAAATCGAATGAAAATAATTTCGTGAACAAGTTTTTGGCGCCGTTGTTGGGGATTGAGTTTTAGCTTAATTTTATTTCTCGAAGCACTAATTCGAACTCAATTTTTATTTTGCTAGCATAATTTTGTTTTTGTTTTTATTTTTATTTTAGGTTATTATCCTTTATTTGTGTTTTAGTTATTTAAATTGTTTGAATCTCAGTGCTCGTACTGGTTTTAATTCTCAGATTTGCATGTCACGGTTGCCTGGAGGAGAATTGATTCCAGCTGATCCTGAAATTGAGCGCACCTTTCATCGACGACAAAGAGATCACCGAGAAGCACAAGTACAAATGGCCAACGAATTAAATAATCCTATCATTCAAGCTAACGAAGGAGAGGCAATGGATGAAGGAAATGAAATTCTGGGGGACTTCTTGAGTCCTCAAGTTATTCAAAGCCAATCCAGCATTGTATATCCACCATTTGGATAGCCCAATTTTCAATTGAAGACCAATGTAATACAGCTGTTTCAAAATGGACACCAATTCTATGGCAAAGCCGAGGAGAATCCACACACACACGTATCTTGATTTCTAGATATGTGTCAACATTTCAGATACCAAGGGATTTCGGATGACGTTATTAGGTTAAGACTTTTTCCACATACGTTACCGGACATAGCACTTGAATGGTTGGATTCACTCCCGATTGCAAGTATCACTACATG